TCCCTCCCAGTTCATCCCAATCCCTCCCAGTTCCATCCCAGTCCATCCCAGTCCATCCCAGTCCATCCCAGTGCTCCCAGTCCATCCCAGTCCATCCCAGTCCATTCCAATCCCCTCCCAATCCATTCCAATCCCATCCCAGTCCCATCCCAGTCCATACTGGGAGCCCACACCAGTATCAGGCATCGATTTATTGGCGATTTCGGCACCTCAGGGACCCCCCGGGGTGAGGGGGGAGGGGCAATAAATAACGGGGGGGGGAGGGGAGAAGGCACCCGGGGCGGGACTGGTTTGTACTGGTTTGTACTGGTTTGTACTGGTTTGTACTGGTTTGTACTGGGAGAAGGCCTGCGGTCATCGACACAGCACTGGGAGCACCCTACCGGTCCGTACTGGTCCGTACTGGTTTGTACTGGTCCGTACTGGTCCGTACTGGTTCGTACTGGGAGGACACAAGGCCACGTGGGTGAGGAGATCCTGGGCGAGCTCTGGACTGGTTTGTACTGGTTTGTACTGGTTTGCACTGGTTTGTACTGGTTTGCACTGGTTTGTACTGGGAGGACGCAAGGCCACACCAGTGAAGAGCCCCCAGTTTGGCTGCCAGACTGGTCCGTACTGGTCCGTACTGGTTTGTGCTGGGATGGCTGAAGGTCGTGGCAAGGCACTGGTCCGTACTGGTCCAAACGGGTCCGTACTGGTCCGGTCCAAGGCAATGCAGATCCAGGAGCTCCCAGCTGGGTTGTCGCGGTGGTTTGTACTGGTTTGAACTGGTTTGTACTGGTTCAAACTGGTTCGTACTGGTTCAAACTGGTTTGTACTGGTTTATACTGGTTTGTAGTGGTTTGTACTGGTTCATACTGGTTCAAACTGGTTTATACTGGTTTGTACTGGGATGTCCCACGGTGGTGCAGAAGCCAGCGGGGCGGCACTGGGCTGTACTGGTTTATACTGGGAGGGGTCTCTGGTGGCTTTGGGGACCCTTTGGTGGCTTTGGGGACCCTTTGGTGGCTTTGGGGACCCTTTGGGACCCTCAGGGTGGCTTTGGGGTCCGTTCGAGGTCCCTTTGGTGGCTTTGGGGTCCCTTTGGTGACTTTGGGGTCCCTTTGGGGTCCCCCCGGTGGCTCTGAGGTCCCCAAAAGGACCCTCCTGTCCCCATGGGGGGGTCTGTGGTGTCCCCACGTTGTCCCCACAGGGTCCCCAAAGTGACCTCAGGGGGGACGTTCTATGGGGTCTCCACATCATCCTACGGGGTTCCCATGGTGACCAAGAGGTCCCCATGATGGTTTTGGGGTTCCTGCAGATGTTCTATGGGGTCTCCACATTGTCCTACAAGGTTCTTAAAGTGCCAAGAGATCCCAATGGTGACCCCACGTTCCCATGCAGATGTTTTATGGTGTCCCCACATCATCCTACGGGGTTCCCATGGTGACCAAGAGGTCCCCATGATGGTCTTGGGGTCCCTGCAGATGTTTTATGGGGTCACTACATTGTCCTACAAGGTTTCCATGGTGACCAAGCGATCCCCAATGGTGACCCCAGGTGCTCTCAGAGATGTTCTTTGGGGTCTCCACATCATCCCACACAGTTCCTGAAGTGCCAGGAGGTCCCAATGGTGACCCCAGGTCCTCCTGCAGATGTTCCATGGGGTCTCCACACTCTCCTACAAAGTTCCCGCAGTGCCCAAAGGGTCCCCGTGATGGTTTTGGGGTCCCTGGAGATGTTCTGTGGGATCTCCACAGTGTCCTACAAGGCTCCCACAGTTCCCAAGAGGTCCCCAAGGTGACCCTGAGGTTCCTGGAGATGTTTTATGGGGTCTCCACATTGCCCCAAAAGGTTCCCACAGTGACCCTGAGCCCCCTGTGATGGTTTTGGGATTCCTGCAGATGTTTTATGGGGTCTCCACATCATCCTACAGGGTTCCCATGGTGACCCTGAGCTCCCCGTGATGGTTTTGGAGTTCCTGGAAATGTTTTATGGGGTCTCCACAGTGTCCCACAAGGTTCCCACAGTGCTAAAAGGATCCCCATGATGGTTTTGGGGTTCCTGGAGATGTTTTATGGGGTCTCCACAAGGTTCCCATGGTGACCAAGAGGTTCCCCAAGGTGACCCCAGGTCCCCCTGGAGATGTTCCATGGGGTCTCCACACTGTCCTACAAGGTTCCCACAGTACCCAAAAGATCCCTATGATGGGTTTGGGGTCCTTGAAGATGTTTTATGGGGTCTCCACAGTGTCCTACAGGGTTCCCATGGTGACCAAGAGGTTCCCGTGATGGTTTTGGGGTTCCTGGAGATGTTTTATGGGGTCTCCAGAGCCCTCCATTGACCATGGTGTCCCTAAGGAGTCCCCACCCTTTCCCCATGCCCCCTACCCTGATAAGGGTCTGTTTTGGGGTCCCCCACCCCATTTTAGCATCCCCCTACCCCACTGAGGATCCATTTTGGGGTCCCCCCGGCACGGCCCCACCCCACCCCTCCAGGTACCTGGCGAAGAGCCCCTTGGGGAGTGGGGCAGGGTCTCCCCTACCCCGACGAGGGTCCATTTTGGGATTCCCCTACCCCACTTTAGGGTCTCCCCTACCCCGACGAGGGTCCATTTCAGTGTCCCCTTACCCCGATGAGGGTCCATTTTGGGATTCCCCTACCCCATTTTAGGGTCCCCCCTACCCCGACGAGGGTCCATTTTGGGGTCCCCTATCCCAATGAGGATCCATTTTGGGGTCCCCTACCCCACTGAGGATCCATTTTGAGGTCCCCCTACCCTGATGAGGGTCCATTTTGGTGTCCCCTACCCCATTTTGGGGTCCCCTACCCCACTGAGGATCCATTTTGGGGTCCCCTTACCCCACTGAGGCTCCATTTTGGGGTCCCCCCGGCACGGCCCCACCCCACCCCTCCAGGTACCTGGCAAAGAGCCCCTTGGCGCGTGGGGCAGGGGACCCCTACCCCGACGAGGATCCATTTCGGTGTCCCCCTACCCCAATGAGGGTCCATTTTGGGGTCCCCTACCCCATTTTGGGGTCCCCTACCCCAACGAGGATCCATTTTGGGGTCCCCTTACCCCACTGAGGGTCCATTTTGGTGTCCCCCTACCTCGATGAGGGTCCATTTTAGGGTCCCCCCTACCCCGACAAGGATCCATTTTGGGGTCCCCTATTCCAATGAGGGTCCATTTTGGGGTCCCCTACCCCATTTTAGGGTCCCCTACCCCATTTCGGTGTCCCCTACCCCACTGAGGCTCCATTTTGGGGTCCCCCCGGCACGGCCCCACCCCACCCCTCCAGGTACCTGGCGAAGAGCCCCTTGGCGCGGCGCAGCACGCGGCCCAGCTGGTGGCGCCGCACCAGGCGGTCGAAGTGCATGGCCACCTCGTTGTAGTCGCCGGCCCGCGCCATCACGGCCTCGCGCTGCTCCAGCAGCATGGCCAGGCACACGAACAGCAGGAAGGGGTTGCCCTGGCCCAGCTCCTCAGGCGGTGGAAGAGGAGCTCCATCATCCTCCACGGTCAGCTCTTCGTCCGAGGAGGAGGAGGAGGAGGAGCAGGAGGAGCAGGAGGAGGAGGAGCACGAGGAGGAAGGGTCTTCCCAAGCCCAGCGGCCGCCCCAGGGGTCTTCGGGAGTGGTGGTGGTGGGGTTGGGGGTGTCCTTGGGGTCATGGTGGTCATCAAAACCATCCTTGGGGCCATCGTGGTCATCGTTGGGATCATCAAACCCATGTTTGGGGTGATCAAAACCATCCTTGGGGTCACCAACACCATGTTTGGGGTCATCAAACCCATGTTTGGGGTCATCAAAACCATCCTTGGGGTGATGGTGGCCACGCCTGGGGTGACGGTGGTCATCCCTGGGGTCACGGTGGTCATCCTTGGGGTCATCAAAACTGTGTTTAGGGTCATCGTGGCCATGCCTGGGGTCATGGTGGTCATCCTTGGGGTCATCATGGTTGTCCTTGGGGTCATCACAGCCATGCTCGGGGTCATCGTGGCCATGCCTGGGGTGATGGTGGCCATCTCTGGGGTCATCGTGGCCATCCTTGGGGTCACTGTGGCCATCCCTGGGGTCACCATGGCCTTCTCCAAGCTCGTGTCCCTCTCTGAGGTCACCACACCCCTCTCCGGGGTCATCGTGTCCCTCTCTGGGGTCATCTCGTCCTTTTTTGAGGTCACCGTGTCCTTCTGTCAGGCCACGCCCCTCTTTGGGGTCATCCTGTCCATTTTTGGGGTCACCCCGTCCATTTTTGGGGTCACCTCGTCCATTTTTGGGGTCACCTTGTCCATTTTTGGGGTCACCTCGTCCATTTTCGGGTCCCTCTCTGTCCCCCCAGCCGGGGCCGTGGGCTCTCTGCTCCATCTCCAGGGCGTCGGTGCCCTCCTCCACCTTCCTGGGGCCACCTGGGCCCGAGTCCTGGGGGCCCTCGGGGGCTTCCCCGGCCCTCGGGGGTCTCCCTTGGGTGTTCCTGGAGCTTTTGGGACCTTTGGGGACGTTCCTGGAGCTTTTGGGACCTTTGGGGACACCGCTGGAGCTCTTGGGACCTTCCTGGATGTCCTTGGGACCTTCTGGGATGTCACCAGAGCTCCTGGGACATTTGGGGACATTTTTGGAGCTCTCAGCACCTTCCTGAAGATTCTTAAAGCTCTTGGGACCTTCCTGGATGTCCTTGGAACCTTCTGGAATGTCACTGGAGCTCTTGAGACCCTCGGGGACATTTCTGGAGCTCTCAAGATCCTCCTGGATGTCCTTGTGACCTTCTGGGATGTCACTGGAGCTCTTGGGACTTTCAGGAACATTTCTGGAGCTCTTGGGACCCTCCTGGATGTCCCCGGGACCCTCAGGGACGTCCCCAAAGCTCCTGGGACTCTCTTGAACATCCCCGGAACCCTTGAGACCCCCAAAGCCACCACCAGTGCTTTGGGGACCATCGGGGACATCTCCAGCGCTCTCAGGACCCTCCTGGACCCCCTGGGCACCTTTGGGACCCTCTGGGACATCGTTGAGACCTCCAAGGCCACCAGCAGAACCTTGGGGAGCGTCGCCTTCTCCATCCTCATCTCCGTCCTTCCTCCTCCTCCTCCTCCTCCTCCGGGGTGGCCGCGGCCGCAGCCCCCGGCGCTCCCTGAGCCCCCGCCCGGCCCGGCGAGCACCCAAGGGTGGCCCGAGCAGCGGGACCCCGGCCGGAGGCGGCGGCGGAGCCGGTGGCAGCGAGCTCCAGGTGATCTCCAACAACCTCAACGCGTCCTCGAAGGCGAACTCGCGCTTGAGCTCCAGCAGCAACCAGCGGTAACAAAACAACAAATCGTGAGCTCCCCGAGAAGCCAAAAACGACCAAAAAACGGGGTCGGCGCGACGGAGGAGGCGCCGGAGGTGACAGAACGCCCGGGCCAGACCGCGTCCACCGGGACGGAACCGCGGGGCCAAACGGCGCATCAGCGAGCAAAAACACAAATAAGCCTGAGCTTCATCGTCCAGCACGGCCAGCAGCGGGGCCGCCACGTCCGACATGCCCTGGCAGTAGGACAGGTGAGGGTGGCCCAAGGCGAAGGTGGTCAGCAGGGCCTGGAGGGCGGCCAGGTGAGGGTGACCTTCCTCGGGGCCGCCGAAATACGGGTGGGCGCGGTCGGTGCGGACGACGTCCTTGCGGACGGCGGCGGCCACTTGGGACAGCTCGGCCGGAGCGGCGCGGGCGGCCAGGGCGGCCTTCAGGGACAGGTACTCGGCTGCTTTGAGGCGCAGGTGGGACAGGCGCTCCTGGCCGGTGAGACCCGAGGGGAACACGTTCAGCAGGTAACGCCAGACCACCTGGAAAATGGGAAAAATGGGAAAAATGGGAAATATGGGAAATTGGGGTTATGGGGGAAGATGGGAAATTGGGGTTAGAGACCACCCCAGGTGTGGGTCAGAGGGTGTCAGGGACCCCCAGGTGGGACAGGTGCTCCTGGCCGGTGAGACCCGAGGGGAACACGTTCAGCAGGTAACGCCAGACCACCTGAAATGGGAAAAATGGGAAAATGGGAAAAATGGGAAAAATGGGAAAAATGGGAAAATGGGAAAAATGGGAAAAACGGTATCAGGGATCCCCAGGTGGGACAGGCACTCCTGGCCCGTGAGACCCGAGGGGAACACGTTCAGCAGGTACCGCCAGACCACCTGGAAAATGGGGAAAAAATGGGAAAAATGGGAAAAATGGGAAAAATGGGAAAAATGGTAAAAATGGGACCCCCAGGTGGGACAGGCGCTCCTGGCCCATGAGACCCGAGGGGAACACGTTCAGCAGGTAACACCAGACCACCTGAAAAATGGGAAAAAAATGGGAAATTGGGGTTATGGGGGAAAAAGGGAAATTGGGGTTAGGGGGGAAAATGGGAAATTGGGGTTAGGGGGGAAAATGGGAAATTGGGGTTAGGGGGGACAGGTGAGGGGTGTCAGGGACCCCCAGGTGGGACAGGCGCTCCTGGCCCGTGAGACCCGAGGGGAACACGTTCAGCAGGTACCGCCAGACCACCTGGAAAACGGGGAAAAAATGGGAAAAATGGGAAATTTGGGTTAGGGGTGTCAGGGACCCCCGGCTCAAGGGGAACACGTTCAGCAGATAATGCCAGACCACCTGGAAAATGGGAAAAATGGGAAAAATGGGAAAAATGGTGTCAGGGACCCCCAGGTGGGACCCGAGGGGAACACGTTCAGCAGGTACCGCCAGACCACCTGAAATGGGGGAAATGGGAAATTGGGGTTATGGGGGAAAATGGGAAATTGGGGTTAGGGGGGACAGGGACCCCCAGGTGGGTCACGGACCCCCAGGTGGGACAGGCACCCCTGGCCGGTGAGGCCCGACGAGAACACGTTCAGCAGGTAACGCCAGACCACCTGGAAAATGGGGGAAAAATGGGAAAAATGGGAAATTTGGGTTAGGGGGGACAGGGACCCCCAGGTGGGACAGGCGCTCCTGGCCCGTGAGACCCGAGGGGAACACGTTCAGCAGATACCGCCAAACCACCTGAAAAATGGGAAAAAAATGGGAAAAATCGGAAAAATGGGAAATATGGGAAAAATGGGAAAAATATGGGAAAAATGGGAAAAATGGGAAAAATGGGAAAAATGGGAAAAATGGGAAAAATGGGAAATTGGGGTTAGGGGGGACAGGGACCCCCAGGTGGGACAGGCGCTCCTGGCCCGTGAGACCCGAGGGGAACACGTTCAGCAGGTACCGCCAGACCACCTGGAAAACGGGAAAAATGGGAAAAATGGGAACAATGGGAAAAATGGGAAAAATGGGAAAATGGGAAAAATGGGAAAATGGGAAAAATGGGAAAAATGGTAAAAATGGGACCCCCAGGTGAGACAGGCGCTCCTGGCCAGTGAGACCCGAGGGGAACACGTTCAGCAGGTAACGCCAGACCACCTGGAAAATGGGAAAAAATGGGAAAAATGGGGAATTGGGGTTAGGGGGGACATGTGAGGGGTGTCAGGGACCCCTGGCTCAAGGGGAACATGTTCAGCGGTAACGCCAGACCACCTGGATGGGGGGAAATGGGGTGAGTCAGGCACCCCAGGTGTGTCCAGAACCCCCCAGGTGTGTCCCAGATGTGTCCCAGATGTGTCCCAGGTGTCCTCAGGTGTATCCCCACCCCCCAGGTATCCCCAAGTGTCCCACACCCCACTTCCAGGTGTGTCCCCCACCCCCAGGTGTATCCCAGGTGTGTCCCCACCCTCCCAGGTATGTCCCCACCCCCTCAGGTGTATCCCAGGTGTGTCCCACATGCGTCCCAGGTGTATCCCAGATGTCCCCAGCTGGATCCCAGATGTCCCCAGGTGTATCCCAGATGTCCCCAAGTGTATCCCAGCTGTCTCCAGGTGTGTCCCCACCCCTCAGGTGTGTCCCCAGGTGTATCCCAGATGTCCCCAGGTGTGTCCCAGATGTCCCCAGGTGTGTCCCAGGTGTATCCCAGGTGTCCCCAGGTGTATCCCAGATGTCCCCAGCTGTACCCCAGCTGTCCCCAGGTGTATCCCAGGTGTGTCCCAGGTGTATCCCAGCTGTCCCCAGGTGTGTCCCCAGCCCCCCAGCTGTCCTCAGGTGTGCCCCAGATGCATCCCAGCTGTCCCCAGCTGTATCCCAGATGTCCCCAGCTGTGTCCCCACCCCCCAGGTGCCTCTGGGGGGTCTCACCTTGCGCAGGCCGGGCTCGACGCCGCCGTGGAAGACGTGGAGCCGCAGCTCCTGGGGCCGCAGCAGCCGCCCCCCCGGGCCCAGGTACGAGCGCAGGTCGGCGTCGCTCAGGGGGGCGCAGGGCGGGGCCGGGGGAGGGGGCGGGGACACCGCCGGGGTCCCCTCGGGCCACGCCAGAGCCGCCTGCGCCCGCGCCAGCGTCCGGCCCACCTGCGGGAACGGCACTGGTGGCACTGGGAGCACTGGGAGGGACTGGGAGGGGATTGGGAG